GTACAAATTAATGTCAGCACTAGTCAAGCAGCTGCTTTTGTAGACTTGGACCTGTTTGTCACTCTATTTAATTCTGTTAAACAAAACTCTCCCACCTCACAAGGCTGTGGTGAAAGCAAAGGGAAGGACCCAAGACACTGGAAATAAATCCACAAGTAACTGACAGTGCGATCATAGGAAACAGGTGTCTCTGACCAAGTTTTGTTTTCCAAGATGCAGCTTTTATGCAGCTCCAGAAACAGAGTCCACCAACCTTCACTGCCATCTACAGTGAGTAAACACAGTTAACTGTCCTGGAACAATTATGCTTATGAGAATCCATGTAATGAACAGTACGAAACAATGCACTTTGAGGTAAATTTAAATTTTCACTGCTTTCACAGACTTCAGAAACTAACAACTGCTTGCAAGACAGATTCCAGGCTGAAACCAGTTTCTGGATTCAGGAGCCAAAGTTAGTACTTTCACAGCCACCAGGCATGGAAGGTGGATTTTGTGCCTGTTTGTCAACTACAATACAGTCCCAAGATTTGTAAGAACTAAGTTCTCCTTATACAGAGGAGTCCATTTAAATCCATACCTCACATATCACAAGAGAAAGACCTAATCGTGGGGCTAACCAGACAGAAATACAGAATGCACAGGACAAGGGAAAGAGAGCATGACACTATTCCATGGAACAGTGCTTTCTCCTCACATCACAGCTATATTTTGGTCTTTTTTCTCAGCACCATGCATGCACCAAGATAAGGAGAGCCAACACCATTCTGCTCCTCTTGCAGAAGTACCTAAATCAGGAGGTTAAAGCAGCATGCCCCACTGCACCAAAGCATAAGGTAAATGAAGCCAGAAATCTACCTTCTTTCCTTACTTTACACATCACAAAGTATTTCAGTAATACATCTATGAATAAGTATTACAGTGTGTTTGTGACTAAGAGATGCTGCTGTTCAGTCCAATTTAAACTGAGGAGATTTGACACTGCGTAGCAGGGTGATGTCAACTGAATAAAAAAAGTACCAAATGGAGCTGAAATAAGTTAAGGGTTACTTCACTAGATTGCTCTCTTTTCAGCCAACCACACAGGCATTCTATACAACTAGAAAGAAAGACACTTCACAACATTTTTTACCAAATACCTATATTACAGACATAGGAAAGCTGCTGCAAGAAATTTGGGTTTTTACACAACACCATTTTTCATATATTTAAAGTATATAAACAGACAGGGATAAAAGCCTTACTGCAGCCAAATAAAGTAGCACTAACTTTAGACAGCATCAGACAACCAGCTTTGGACTACGATTACATCCTGCTGGTTGTACTACATTGTTGCTTTTTCTCCACAGAAAAAAAACTCTGAAATTAAAAGTTTTATAAGTTTGCATCCAAACACCCTGGTCTTGGGATTTTATGAAAGTAAAAGATCAAACAGGACACTTGTATCACATATGTAACATTTCAGTGACAGAACCACAAACAAACAAAAAAAATCAAAGTTAAACTAACTCTAAAAATTGTAATCAAAACTCAAGGACACCATAATGTGTTAAGAAATTTATAAGACTTTGTTAAAAAGGCAGTAAAAATACCCCATTCTATTCCCCTTATTCTCATAGCACAGCAAGGAAGACTGACTTACAAAGAAATAAACCAGAAATTGATTGTAATTTTTCCCCCTCATGTGTTTTGCTTTATTATCAAACTGTGTTTTATGGAGAGCTTGTTGCTTCATGTAACTCAGAACCTTAGTATCTGTACCCTTGAAGCTCCATCTTAAATAGTGTGATAAACCTAAAGTAAATAACATCTATCAAAATATAAAGGTCAGGACTATCAAGCTCACAAATGAAAACCTTAGGAAAATAGGATAGGTTAAAAAATGTAAGTTTGTATGAAACCCTCAGAGGCTGACAAATGCTTAGAGAATTAATGTATAGTGATCAAAATCATTAATGCGTCTGAAATCAGGGTTGTCAATACCATGTTCTCATCTTTTAATCTTTCCTAAAGCAGGGCTGCTCTGCTCAGACACAGAATTTGCACAATGACAAAAAAATACTCTTATGTAACTTATTGCAGCACTATTTTAAATAATAAAAAAGTCAACTTACTTTGTCTTATTAGACTTTCTAGATAGCACAAAAGAGAAGAAGTGCCCACCTCTAGGCACCGGGAATGACATGGTCCCCAGGGGACACTGTTCTACCATCGATAGAAACAGTCTATTTTTGCTCTGTGGACTGCTTTTGAACAGCTTCTTTGCTTACTGCTGTCAGGATATCAATGCCTCCTCCATCAGCCTACTACCCCTCCTTCGCTCCAGTGCTATAGCAAGCAGCTGAGGTGGTGGGAGAGGCTGACAGAACCCTCATTCACAGAGAAGTTTGGGGATATTTGCTTTAGCAATTAATTGGAAAGTTTAATTTATAACTAGACCGGATAACCATGCCATCTCCTCAAAAAACACCTGATGATCAATAACTTTAACTGGTCTTAAAACAAGATGGTACATTTATAAACATTACTGCCAATGTCAGAATACCACTAAATACACATTTTACTAATGAGGGCAAAACCAATTCAGCCTATGGCTAACTTACTAAAATCATTGACAGCTCTTCCTTTCTTCCATGGTCAGGATGTACCATAGCAGTCTGACTGGACAACACTGTCATGCGCTGACACTACATACACACCTACATAACCCAACACAAGAAAAGCCTTCTGCAGTTTCAGCAGAACTGACCTTTAAACTTGTGTTAAGTTACACTAAATATCGAGTAATTGAAGACCTCAAGGGTAAAGAATGACTCTGTTGTGCTGGATTTCTTGTATCTCCTACTAACTTAAAAGGGGGAGAAAAGTCGTCATCTACTATGATACACTGTTTCTAATGAAGTCTTTTCTAGTATGATCTCATGCCTAGTCTTGAAAAAATGCACTCGCCATCTTCTTACAATTTCCTTTATATTTAAAGGAGTCAAAATTTGCATTTCAACCCTTGGTCCCTGTATGCATTTTGAGTTATAACATGCACATCAAAAGACAGAAGTACTGTAATTGCATTACTTCAACCTGCTAACCTCACTGGGTACTGACGTTGCCAACATGACTTCAATTCTGACAGTGATAACAGAATTACATTAGAGTCAGCTGTAAGGTTCAAAGTTTCATTGCTCATTTTTAATGTTTTATTCCCATTAGAGTCCCATTATACCTCAATCAATATTCAGGTGGGGAGGAAAAAAAAAAAAGGGGGGGGGGGAGAAACTAGTGAAAAGCCCTCTTTGGAAAACTCAGGATTTAAAATTTGCTGAGGTCTCATTAGCAAGTCTCACTGGCCCTTCATGTATGCTCAGCTGATGATCTCCAAGGTTTGCTTCCACCATTTTATCCAGAACTTTTTCTTAAAAGAAGTGATTTCCCTTTCAGTGTTATTCAGTCATCCTCTACCTGCAGCCTTAAACATTAGAAATTTCATCTTATGTCATGGCATGTGTCTTTTAAATAGCCATACAACAAACATGGAAATCATTATTTGCATTGAATACCTTAGCTTTTCTAAATCATGAAGTAAATTAGAACCTGCAAAGACTACAGTATGTACCTTGTAAACTAATGACAGACACACATGATTGTGTATAATTTTCTTTCAGCAGAAATTACTTTCAATTAAAATCTAGCACCTGACACCTACTGCATTTTAAAACCCTTGGAAAGACAGAGTAAGCTCCAAGTTAAGAAGCTATCCCTAACTTCCTTCTGTAGTAATAAAGTATCTTCCATTCAGCATATCTCATTAAACAAAGTTACAGTACTTTGGAGGACTAACTTCTGTAATGGACAGCTATATTAACAAAGAATCAAATACATTATTGTTCAGTTGAAACCACTGACTTAAATACATTTAGTATGGGGAAAGTGCACTATATACATGGGTGATGACCCTTGAAATTAAGACTACTAATACATTAAAATGATACATGATGCTGTCTAATACATGCTAACATGATGGCTACACAAGTGGTAAACAAGCTAAAAGATCAAACAATCCCATAATTTCTTACTAATGATCTATGAAATATTATATTTAAATTACACTGACAATTACAGTGCAGGAGCACAGCTCTGTTGGACAGAACAAATACAAGCTTTGGTAAATTACACACAGGGTTTCAAAGCACTGTATCACAACTCCCTTAAACTAAACTTCGCTTAATGCGGTTCATACTGTGATTTATGAGCCATACATAAACCCAGCGAGTTGAAGAAGAACTTCAGAAAAAAACAGCTTATGTCAACTGCTGTTATTAATAATGGCGATTGAGGAGAGTGTAAACTGGAAATATTTGAAAGTTCATTGTGACATCAGTCTGACAAGGAGTTACACACAGCGCAGCTGGATCAGGTCACATTAGCAACATTCGAAGAGAAAACGACTGTCAGTCACTTCTGCCGAGTTTTCAATAGAAAGGAGAAGGAAACAAAAAATCTAGGCGGTTCGTTACCTAGATGGACCCCAAGCCGTTTTAGCGGACATTCAGCCACACATCAGTTTAAGAAGGATTACAGATAGGCAAACAAACAAAAGTTCCGACAGAAACTCCACTTCTCGTAACGATAATTAGAGCCCAGCGTCACCCTGGGCTAGCCACAGAAGCATGCAAAACCCCACGTCCTCCTAATTTCACAGCGGTTCCGCGGACTGCTCACCCTCACCCCTTGCCCTGCCCGGGGAAACCCAACCCGCCAGACTCATTTGTTCGCTCGCAACTTTCCCTCTTCAGCGCGGAGGCTGGGCGAGCACATGTGCTGTGCTGTGCTCTGCTCCGCTCCGCGCCGGCGGCCGCCGCGCCCCAAACCCTCCTGCCGGTGCCGGGCCCCGCTCAGCCCCGGAGAGGGGGAACGGGGACCGCGCCCCGGGAGGCGGCAGCCCGCCAGCCGCCCAGAGCAGCGGAGCTCCGCAGGGCAGCGCTCCTGGGGAGCTTCGCACCTACCTGCGGCTCGGCGGGATCCGCGGGCTTCACCAGGTGCTTCTCCTTGTAGAGAGACCAGAGGCCGATGTCGGGCAAGAAAATCAGCGCCGCGGTGAAGAGCAGCGTCATTTGCAGAAACCTCTTCTGTTTCCTCTTCATGGCCAAAGCCGGGCTGCTCTGGTGGCGGCGGCGGCAGCAACTACCCCAGCACCACGGGGCCAGGTCCTTCCCTCCCGGCTGTCCCTCGGAAAGGCCCGGCGCCGCGGAGAAACTTCGCCCGCCCGCCTCACTCCCGCCCGCCCCGTGCCCGGGCGGGGCCGCCCCCCGCGGCGGCGGCAGCGGGGCCGAAGCTGGCGGCCGCTCCCCCCCGCCCCGGAGCGGCGCTGCGCGGAGGCAGTGCCGCTCCCGGGGGAGCTCAGAGATCCAGCAGCGCAAGGAGCGGCAAACAGCCCGGCGCACAGGGGGAGGAAGGCAAAAAAAATAACCCAAAATATTTCAAAGGATGTAAAACAAAAACCCCCAACCAGAGTGCAGCGAACTGCGTTGGCTCGGGAGGGCGCCCCCTCCTCCCAGCTCCGCAGGAGCGGTAGCGCTGCGCGGAACCCCCACGGCTCGCCGCGCCCGCTCGCCTCAAGTCCCCCTGCCTGACCGGGCCTGGGGTGGGGGGGCGCGGCATCATGAGCTCATCACGCGCAATTTGCTAAGCAGGAGTATACATACTAACAATAAAAATAAAGAAATAAAGCGCGTAGCGCAGATGCCGGAGCCGCGGTACGGAGCGACCCTCCGCGACGGGCAAGGGGGGACGGCCCCGCGATCCCCGCCACCACGAGTGCCGCCTGGCCGGGCCAGGGGCGGACAGCACCTGTCTCGCTCCGCCGCGTCCCCTCATCCCTGCCGCCCCATGGGTGCCCTCCGCCGGCTCCGCGTCGTTCCGCGCCGGCCGGCTATGCGGCGCGCGTGGGGACCGCGGGCCGGAGCCTGGCGGCGCCACGGCCGTGGCCGCCGCGCACCGCGAACGGGGCTTGCAATTCTCGTTCCGGTCCGTCCTCCCCGGCGCTACGTGAAACGCGTGGGGAACCGCGCTGAGAGCCCGCGAGCGGCTCCTGGCCCGGGGACCCGGCCCGCTGCTCCAGGAAGTGCCGGGGCGCTCACCCGCCGGGGGTCCCTGGGCTCCCCCCGCAGTGCCGCTTCTGCCAAGCCCGCCAGGCTATCAGCCCGAGTAGCCCCTGCCCTCCCCGCACCGCACCGCGGGGCTGAGGGCACCCACGCCTTGGGAGCAGCACAGGGAGAAGGAGATGTTCAAAGCCATGTCGCTGCGGCTGTCGGTTCTACCCCCGCTCTACCCTGTTGCATCAGACCCGTTTGGGCTCCTGGTCCGAGTTCAGCTGCTTGTTGACGGCGTGGTGCAATTACCCTTTCGTCTCAAACTGTATCTTCTCAGCAAAACAGGACACATACATAGGTTAAGCTTATTGGGACCTGGTGCCCTTTCAGCTTTGTCACATCAAACAGAAGGAAAATATGTACCAGATGTAGTATTAATCTTTCTAGAATCAACATTGAAAAATAAAGGTGTGTCTAACTTCATTTTTTCCTGCCCTGCATATAAAAAGCTATAACTTCAACTACAGTCCTTGTTTCTGTTGGTGGCTAAAATATTTCTAAATGTCAAGGTCTAAATCCTGCAGTGAGAATCCTCTTTCTGTAACTAACATGCACCTCTAGAAATTGTGAGTAGTCCTATCCTTTTTCATAGGTGAGATAGATCTTGCCCATCCACAGAACTGTCTTGTGCAGAAAGCATTTCCTACCCATGCACAAAACAGTAAAAGAGGCAGTTAAAGGTTATTTTTAGGAGAGTAGCTGGAGATAAAGGAAAGCTTGTGGGAGGAACAGAACTCTGAACGCTGAAGGTGGGGTGGGAGGAAACAGCATAATGCTCTTCACATAAAAACAGGACTTGAAGGGACCTTGCAAGGCCAACTCCTCCATGGCTCTGCCCCAAGGCACAATCAGATACATCTATGTCATTCTTGACATGTGTTTGTCTAACCCATTCTGAAGTCCTCCAGAGATAGCACCACTACAGCCTCCTCAGGCAATCTGTTCTGACTTGCAGTTACAAACTTTTCCTTAATGTTTAACCTGAAACTTCCTTGCTGTGATTTCAGAGTATTACATTAGTCTTACAGACAGCAAGCACAGTACTCCACTCGGTCTTTACACAGTTGAAGTCTGCTTCCAGATACTGTTCCATATGTACTCTGGGACATCTGAAATGCTGACGTCTCTTACTGCTTTCATCAGGACTGTCTTCAACTGATTTGTATCTTTCTCGAAGTGCAATGGCTAAGGCTGGATGTAATATGCTACTTGAGTCCTCATAAGTGTTTATAAGAAAAGAAGTATAACTGTGCATGTGTGACAGTGCATATCCTTTTTCCATGCTTCCATGTGTAATGCTAGCTTTGGTCTTAAAAGCAGTAGGCTGTTGACTAATGACCATTCTGTGGTACAATTTAAGCTCTGGTTGGTTTCATTTCCCTCGAATTAACTACTTTGTAGTTCATTGTTCCTATTTCTATCTGCTGAATACTTCTCCCTTTGGCTCTGTCTCTATTAAATATCTTTTTTGTCCCCCATAATATTTATTGTTTTTCAAAATCACTTTGAATTTAAGGCTATCTTCCACTGTCATATACAAATCTAATAAATGATTTCTATGCTGTAGTCCAGATTGTTAGCAAGAGCTTTAGCATGTTCAGATGCAGGACAGATCCTTGCAGAGCTCTTCAAAATGTATCCTCCCACACTTGAGAGTAAGCCATTGATACTTTACTATCTCTGTAGTTTCCAGCTTTGCACTTACCCTGATGGTTGTAAGACCTACATAAAGTAACCTTGCTTAGAAAAGTGTCATGTGCAATGCTTTGCTTGATTGTCTTAGCGACAAAGGGTATACATCATTGTTTTCTTTTCACCACTGCCATGCTATAAGGGTGTCATGGAACATCACCAAAAAGGCTATGCAAGTAGTTACACTTTTTGATTATTGCAGCTAACCAAGAGGATATGCAGTTCAACCAAATTTTTAAAATTTGGGTTGTATTTAAGAGTTGAATCCACCAAAATATTAGAATTGACAAAACCAAAGGGCACTGATGTTGTCAGAAATTCTACTTACATTTTTAGCTCAGCATCCAGGGTTAGGAAACCTACCCAGCATATAGAAGATTTTGATTCAGCTGCATTTTTGTCTGAAGGGATTCAGCCCTGATGTTCTTCCACTCAGTGCAAGAAGCATAATAGCTAGAACCATGCTAAGTATAGAAATGATTGCTATGAGATCATATAATAATTCTATAGAAAAAAGTAGGACTACTGGCAGGAAAGATTTAGGAGATGTTGATACTGAAACTCCACAGCATGCTGGTTAAGTCCCTCTCCAGAGGTTGAAGTGAATGCAGACATTCACTCTCAGGAGATAAAATACGGTTTAATTTCCTGAATCCTGGGAATGATTTTGTGGTAAGGGTCATTGTCCACAACTGGCAAATTCAGGTCTGCTTTGTAAAGAATAAGGGCACATTTTCCAGCAAATAATTTTTTCTCACAGTCATGAGCCACCCAGCCCAAATAAGAATTGCTGAATTCTTAGGATGCTAAGCTAGTTTAAAGGAAAGAAAAAATAAAAAAGAAGTACATCACTGTCCTGTGAGTTAAAAACTGAAAGCACACATCAAGGCATGTGGCAATAACATATGCTTGCCCTAGAAGAACTTGTAGGGGAGCTGCAGAATATACAGTTTCTTCAGTGGGAATACATTCCAATCTTCAAATAAATATTTGCTCAATCTCAAGCCGTATATGAGAAAGCACGAAAGAGGTGTATTCTGAAACAATGCACACCTTGACACCACAATTTAGTGTATTTGGGACATACTTTCATTTCTCTTCTACATGTCATACTAAGCCAAAAGTTCTATCAAGACTTCTGATATGACTGTAGGGCAGAAAATCAGAGCAGAGTGCAAAACAACCTAGCAGGCAGGAGAGCTGCTAGGTAGGAAGACTACAGAAGCTATTCAGCCACACATTTCAAACCTGGAAGCTGAACTCAGCCTGTGAGGAGCATTGCTTTGAGATCACAGCTTTACTCAAAAGAGACTCCAGCTCATGCCTAATCAATACTCTTCATGCAGGAAAGCCACTATTCAGTTCATATATTGCAGGAGCCAAACTGCTCTCACATGAAAGATAGAGTACCCAACTTTATGTTCACTGTTATAAACAGCAGAGCTTGATGTGCTCTAAACAGAGAATGTGCTCTAAACATAGAATGAATCTGGTAAAATGATAATCTGTAATATTGCCATATAAAGACGTGAATAAAGGAAATGGAATGGGAGTTTCCTTTAATTACAGTATTTACCTCCAGGTAACTCAGGATGTAAAATGGCCAGGTCTGGTTTCATGTGTTGTTTCAGTCTGCTTAGCTAAAAAAAACACACAGCGTTGCAAATGACTCTCAAAGGCAGGAAGAGGGGCAAAGGGATTTTTTCTTTTCCCAGCAAAACCCAGATCTGAAACAGAGCTGCAAACAGTTGGCGATTCTGGTATTTAGGGGGCTGACATGCTTTTCTCATCACTGGGTTTCATTCTCAGACCTTCAAGCATCCCTCAAAGCTCTTCACACCCTCTTTCTGTGTCTTTTGTCTTAGGTTCAACCAAAACCTCAAGTGAAAGGTATAATGCAGATAGCATACTAGAAATAGAAATGAAAATTCAATGTGAATTCAACTCTTTTACAAAAGTTCATAATCCAAGTCCAAACTCCCACAAAGAACATATATTTTCAATGTATTCTGCAGAGAAAAGTTTCAAGATACTCACCTCAAAACCTGAAAGGTTCATACATATATACAGACTCTGGCTATAAATAACATGTAACAGTTTTTCATTGACCTTCTGTTTCTAAGTCACTTGGCCTCCTCTGTCTCCAGTTTTGACATCAAGTTTCAAAATCATCATCACATATTTGTATTACTTCTAACTGTGGAAATATTTTTTGTAAATTTCATTCATTGGGTTTTTCATAGAATCAAACTCTTGGTCTCAAATTTGACTGAGAATTTCAGCTGAAAGGGAAACCTAGGACCCCACTACTCATATAGGAAATACAGAAACTCAGTCTCCAGAGAGAAACTCAAGAGAAGTTAATTTTATCAAGACTTTTGGATCCTGCCTTGTATTTTTTAAGTTATTAAGTTTGGCAATATTGCAGAGAACCAGGAA